CATTGATTACTTAGAGACCTTTGCACCAGTTGTAAAGAATGCTTTCCTAAATGGGGATCTGCAAGAGGAAGTGTATATGGATCTTCCTTATGGCTTCTACAGTGATGCTAAAAAGGGAAAGGTATGCAAGCTTAAGAATTCACTTTATGGCTTGAAACAATCTCCTAGAGCATGGTTTGACAGATTCAGAATGGCCTTGATTGCTTTTGGCTACACTCTGACTCAATCCGATCATTCCTTGTTTGTGAAGCGAAGGGGATCTTTGGTGTCAGTCCTAATTGTTTATGTGGATGATATTATTGTCACGGGGAATGACCTAAGTGAGATTGATTGTCTAAAAAACATAAAGAATTTGAAATTAAAGATCTTGGAGAACTGAGATACTTCTTAGGCATTGAAGTTGCAAATTCAAAACATGGAATTTTTATCTCTCAAAGGAAGTATGTCTTGGATCTTCTTCAAGAAACAGGGAAGCTTTGAACGAAGGCAATCAGTACCCCTATTGATCAGAACCATAGAATCACGCATCAGAAGGTGAACCAGTAAAGGACATCAGGAGATATTAGAGACTTGTGGGTCGGCTACTATACTTGTGTATGACAAGACCAGACATTTCCTATGCAGTAAGTGTGGTAAGTCAATACATCCATGCTCCATGAGTCCAGCATTGGGAGGCAGTTTACAGGATTCTTTCTTATCTGAAGGGACACCCGGGCAAAGGCATATTGTTTACTGATCATGGACAATTGAAACTAGAGGCTTATACAGATGCAGATTGGGCAGGATGCCTTGATGACAAGAGATCAACTTCAGGAGTGTGCACCCTTGTTGGGGGTAACCTTGTCTCGTGGAAGAGTAAGAAACAAACAGTGGTGGCAAGATCAAGTGCTGAATCTGAATACAGGGCCATGGCACATGGAGTTTCAAAACTTCTTTGGATCCGTTCCCTATTAGAAGAAATTGGTGTACAGGCAGAAGAGCCTATGATGTTGTATAGTGATAAACAGGCAGCAATTAACATTGCTCATAACCTAGTCCAGCATGACTAAACTAACCACATTGAAGTGGATAGACATTTTATCAGAGAAAGAGTGACTTCTAGAGAAGTTTGTCTTCCATACATTGCTTCTGATCTGCAACTCGCTGATGTTCTCACAAAAGGTGTTGCAAAGAACAAACTAGAGCATGATCTACGCAAGTTGGGAATGTGTGACATTTACTCCCAACTTGAGGGGGAGTGTTGAGTTGGGCCTAGTTTTTTTTCTTATTTTAGGTTATTTAGTTAGGAAGTTGGGCTTTAGGCCCATTAGTTTATGTTTTTAAGTTGTGACTGTTCAGCTACATTAGTAGCCGCCCTACTAAGGGCATCCTTGTAATATCTCATCCTTCAAGTTAAGTATAAATATAATGAGGGGTTGGCGGCTAGGGTTAATCTAAGAATCCTGGTTGACTTCCTACTCTTTTCTCCTCTTTTCTTCTCTACTGCTGAAATCTTCATCTTCCTCTTCTTTCCCTTCACAAGGAATTCAACTAAATCTGCAATCAGTGATTTCTACTTTTATAACTAACCAGGGATATCCCATGTGCAGGGTCAAATGGATCATCTAACATGGCGAGAGAATCTTCTAGTGCAGACTCAGCTGAAGGTTGTGGGCTATCGCCTTTGGTGCTCGATTTTTGTAGCCTTCTCCATGCCTGGTATCAGGACTCCATCATAATGGGCTTGAGCCTCTAGGCTGTCTTCTGGGCTAGCCGATGAGGTCCTAACACTCCTCTTCACCAAGATGTTGTAGCCTATTTTCCTTTTCAATAAATTTTCTTCTTTATTTATCTTTAGGGAAAAAAAGAGAGACTAGGTGACCTTGGTTAGGTGCTTAGATTGAAGGCCTTGACCATCAAAAATGTTTGTTTATGAAACCAAACCTACCAAGGTGACAAAAGTCACAAGGTAGACACCTTATTATAATATTATTATTACCATGTAAAAGATTATGGAGGTTTTACATCCCTCGTTCTTTTCTCTCTTTTCCTCAATTTCTATCTTAAACTTTTAGTATATAAAATCATAGCCTTCTCTAGTTTCTAATTTGATATGAAATTGCTCTATTAATTTATTAATTTTACAATATTGAAAATAATAGATTCAAAATACTATTGATGCAGATTTTTATTTTTTTGATAGATGGTGTGCTTGGTATTCTTGGTGGTGACAATGGTACAAGACCAATTTGTGGGTGTGAATTGCCTATAAGCTTTAAAAACTATAAATAATATTTCTTTCTTCTTTTTCTTATGCGTTGCCTCCTTTACGTGGTGTGCTTGGTATTCTTGGTGGTGACAATGGTACAAGACCAATTTGTGGGTGTGAGTGTGAGAGGTGACAAGTTGGTTGAACTTCCAATTAACAAACTTGAAGGTTATCATTTCTGTAATGTGCCATCTAAACAAAAATGAAAACATGAGCAGGAAGTGGCATGTCACCAACTCACAAGGAAAAATTACAGAAGCTTCCTTAGTTTCTTTTATCCAGTAGAAATTCAGTGAATTGTGATTTAGATGCTTTGGCAAGTTATGATCACCCACAATCTAAGTACACCAAAAGATCACATAGGGTCTGGGCCATAATGGCAGACCTGCAGTACAATGCATCCCTGTTCACTCCCTCCCAATCAAGTGAACCTGATGGTTTGTTTGCTGATCTTCTAAACAAATTGAGCAAAACATTCATCTTTGACGCCAGAAGTTATTTGAATAAACACTAATGCCCATCTTATGATATGCAAAGAATAGTTTATACACATTTTTTTCAAAATGCAAACCTTTATTTAACAACCTAAACCATCAATGCTGCTAATAGCATAATCAGTATTAATTATCCCTCTTCATACACACAGACAAAGAAACATCCGAAGGTGCTGAAGGAAAATTTAAGAAACCAACTGTGGTTTCATTGATTTACCAAAATACAACTGTCGTTTCCTTGAGTCTTCTTGTCATTTACATCCACTAATAAACCATAAAGCTTTTGCCCAAGTGTTCTTGAGAAAATACCTTAAGTGATCCTGCAAGAGATGAAGAAAAATTTCTGCTTCCAGGTCTTCTGTTGAAAGTTTGCTTGAACAGGGTATTTTTAATTTTCTTCTTACACCAAGCAAGACATCTCTATAGGATGGCCTCCAACCCCTTCAGTAACAATGGAAAATGATAAGATCATTACCAAATCAATAACTCAAAAGATGCCTCTAAAAATGGATTCACATGAAATCAATTGAAGGAAAAACAAATTAATAAATAAACTAATGCCAAAATCAAACCAAAAAAGGAGCAAGAAATTTGATGGATGTCAAGATAAATGTCCATTATCATCAATCAAAGACTAAAAACTCAGTTCCACTCAACGAATTGGTAATCTGTTAATCAATGTGCTAGAAATGACATGATACTTGCTATAACCAATGTTATTAAAATCATAATCATAGAGAAGACTTTCAGTTTCCGCAATGCAAAAAATGTGAGAGATCTTGTGAAGATGATCGACTGAAAACATGCAAGGCAGGAAGAATGGGAAGGAAACAGAAAGAGTTTTCACTGCAGCAAACAAGTGGAGGGAATAACTCAGGGTCAAAACAAAGACCCTCATCCTCGAAGAGGTATTGCACAGTAGCAACACAGCATTGAAAACCAAGGAAGTAGGAAAGGGCACTATCCTTCTCAAGGAATATATTCCTTCATCCCTTATGAATGATGTTGAAGATGTTACAGTTCTCACTGCTGCTACTGCAATGGAATCCAAATCAACTTGGGAAAGGGGTCCTGAAGAGTCTCCTGTAATTGCCACATTTGCATTTCCCTTCTTGTTCTTGACCCGAGCTGGTATGAGATGAGGGTAAAGCTTCCAACAAGTGTCTGGTATGCTTTGTCTTCTTGCAATAGTCACACACCAAGTCCTTCTTGTCCTCCCCTTGTCTCCATTTGGCATAGATTTGACTGTACTAATCATAGCAGACTGATCAATCCCAGGTTGTCTCAACATGACATTCCTCCTGCTCTCCTCTCCAAAGACAAAGGCATAAACTTGAGAAAGAATCACACATTCTCTAGAAAGGAGGTTTTGCCTGGCAATGTTGAATACAGGGTTCAGCCCAGCCAAGAACTCAAAAACCCTATTCTTTTCTACCAACCCGTGATAGGTTGTTGCATCCTTCATACTCTCCCAAACCACAATTTCTAAGTGGTCTATCCAAGGTTTAAAATTTCAATACGATATGCTCGATACGGAGCGCATCGTATCGTATCTTTTAATATAAGATACGGGATACGCAACAAAATCATGTGGTGCGTATCTATTCGACCGTATCGGTACCGTATCACCCGTTTCGGTGGCATATCGGTCGATACGCCGCCGATACGGGGACGTATCGATATGCCCCTAAAACGACACGGGCGGAAAACAAAAGTTCGAACTGGAGAAAGGTTTCTTTCTCCCAAAAAAAAGCCTTCTCTCCCTCCCAAACCTCTCACGTACTTGCCTAGACTGCTAGATCTACCAAAAAAAAACAACAAAAACGCATCAAACTTGAAGTTTTGGGAAGATTTTTAAAGTTTTGGAAAATATTGCAAAAATAGGTGAGTTTTCATTTTTTTTTTCATTTAATCTCTTTGATTTGTTGTTTCTTTCTTGTTTGAAAGCTTGGAAGTGCTCTAAACTTAGCTGATCTACATTTCCCATGTCAAAAACAACAATTTTTTTTATTATATGTGTAAATCTATGGATTTTTATGAAGAAATATGGAAAAATAAAAATTTTAAAAAAATGCTTGTTTTTTATTTGAATGTAAGAACTTAATATGTTAGAAACGTATGGATGATCTACCATATCCATATAAGATTTGAAATTTTCTATTTAATATTTTCTTTTTTTATTTTTTTTATAATTTTCGAAAATAAAAAATAAATATTAATTATTTATCTTTTATTATGATTTGTCCATAATGACTGAATGTATTGTAGATCTATGGCTGATCTATCATATCCATAGATCATTTGGCATTTTGGAATTTATTCTTTAAATAAATTTCTTTTTTTTGTAATTTTCGAAATTAAAAATAAATATTAATTAATTATTTTTTATTATGATTTGTCCATAAACACTGAATATATTCTTAATATATGACTGATCTATCATATCCATAGATCATTTGACATTTATCATTCAAATACGATTTTCTTTTTTGTAATTTTCAGAATTAAAAATAAATATTAGTTAATTATTTTTATTATGATTTGTCCATAAGAACTGAATATATTCTTAATATATGGCTGATCTATCATATCCATAGATCATTTGAAATTTATCATTCAAATATGGTTTTTTTTCTTTTGAATTTTTTTGTAATTTTCAGAATTAAAAATAAATATTAATTAATTATTTTTTATTATGATTTGTCCATAAACACTGAATATATTCTTAATATATGGCTGACCAATCATAACCATAGATCATTTGACATTTATCATTCAAATATGATTTTTTTGTAATTTTCAGAATTAAAAATAAATATTAATTAATTATATCTTATTATGGTTTGTCCATAAACACTGAATATATTCTTAATATATGGCTGATCTATCATATCCAAAGATCATTTGACATTTGCATTCAAATATGATTTTTTTGAAATTTTTTTTGTAATATTTAGAATTAATAATAAATAATATTTAATTACATTTTGTTATGATATAGCCCTAAGGACTGAATATATTCTTAATATATGGCTGATCTATCATATCCATAGATCATTTGACATTTGTCATTCAAATATGATTTTTTTTGAATTTTTTGTAATTTTCAGAATTAATAATAAACAATATTTAATTGCATTTGATTATGATGCGGTTTCTATAAATTCTATTAAAATATATTAATTTAATGTATATATATATATATCTTATTAAAGCCTTATATTTAGTGTTATTGATGTATTTTTATGTTATATTGAAGTTTTTATAGTGTTCCTATGTGTATCTTTGCGTATCTTAATTTTTCACCGATACGCATGCATATCCAAAGTGTATCTCGATACGTATCTTAAAATTGCCTTCCCAATACGCTAGGCGTATCCGATACCTTGAACCTTGGGTCTATCTCCTGCCAAAGAGTTTTCAGTGTGGAGAAATACATGGCAAGAGGTCTATCTCCATGTTTTGTACTAATCACCTGATTCCATAACTGATAGGCTCTACCTACATTTTGTTTTTGGGAATAGGTTTTAGTCACTCCATCCCAAATCTCCTTTGCAATATTAGCCCATAAGAAATTTTTACCAATGTAAGGTAACAAAGTTACACAGCTAAGCCATCACCATGTAATTCTCCTATACCCATCGGAAGGGATCTGTATCAGGTTTCTTCTCCTCCCCAATTTCCCACAAGCACTAATAGCCATCTTAGCTAATTGTGCCCATTCTAGGTAATTTGTACCATCAAAATTCATTGTAGTAATGATTCCAAACCGAAAAATATCACTACTACCTCCAACACCCAGACCCATGTTACTGGCGGACTTCTGCTCGATACTCTAATTCTCCATTTAACTTCAAACTGCTTAAAACCAGGAAATAACCAGATAGAAAGCCTCCAAGATCAAATTGATCTCACACACAAGGGTAATAGACGTTTCCAGAAGAAATCTCTCCTCCCATTGTCTCCCACCAGAGAGTAATATGAATCAGTCATTCCAGAGGGCTCAGAAATTCCCAGAAATCTGACCGCCCCCTATAGAAAACCTAGAGAAGTCCAGCGATACCTAAGCGCCCAAGATTAGATCAAAATTGAATAGTCCAACTTGATTAGAACTCTTCCCCGCACTCCAATTCTTCCTAATTTTGATGCCAAAACATAGATAACCCTCCTGATGACTAGAAAACACCAAAAAATCCAAGAACTAGACAATCTGAAGTAGATCAATCAGCCCTTTATCTCCTCATGCAATCGGATGATTTAGGACTGCATGGAAGAACTCCAAGAAACCCTAGCCGAGCTCTAATACCAAGTAGAAGATTGCTGAAATAAAAATCTATAAAAGAAAAAGAGTATTTCTTGAAGAAGAAAGAAAGAGAGAAGAAAGAGAAGAAAAGAGTTTGAGAGAAACTGCCCTCTTCACAATTATTTATAGTTTACAATAATAAAGAGTACAAAGACCAATATGCCCTTATAGGGAGGCTAACACATAAAACACTTAAAATAACTGCTCAAAAAGGACCCAACAAGAGTGTTGTGGTCCCCACTTCCTACCTAAACAATAAATAATCAAAAACTACCGCTACAAACTGCACAAAACTATCTAAAACCTCAACAATCTTGAAAAGCTATAATGGGATTTCTTGTGGAATGGAGGTTGAGAAGGAAAGAAAAAAGATCACTTAGTCAACTAGACTAGGGAATTGTTTGCAAGCCGAAGAAGGAAGTTGACCTGGGACTAGGTCCAAAAGAGAAAAGGAACATAACCTTGCTTGGAAAGTTGCATTGGAGATCGGATAAGGAGCCTGGCTCTTTTTCGGCCTCTATATTCCATAGTAAATAATTAAATATGGTGAGGATGTTGTTGGTAAGGGCAGCTCGTAATTGCTATATCACTTCTCAACCCATCACCCTTGGAAAGGTATTGCCAAAACCTTTCCTTTTTTCTTGCCTCACATTCAGTTCAGCTTAGGGGATGGCAATGTCATCAATTTTTTGGACTGACCTTTCATGGGGCCACCACCCTCTTAGTGAATCCTTCCCTATCCTATTTAGACTAGTCCTAAATAAGCAAGATTCTGTCTCTACTATCCTCTCTTGTGACAACAATGGACTAACCCATAACTTTAATTTTAGTAGAAATTTTACCAAGGAAATTTTGGAAGTATCCACTTTGTTGTCCGACTTAGAAGACATCTTCCTTTCCCCGTTGTCCCAGATAAGGTAGTCAGTCCCTTACCCAAAATGGTACTTTTATGTCTTTTACCTCAAGATCCTTCTTCCACCACCTGACTTTTGGACCCACTCCCTCTTTTTGGATAGAAAGATTTGGCTCCCCTCGGTTCTCGGTTCTCTGTTCCTCCTAGAGTCTCTTTCTTTATCTGGGAGGCTGTTCATGTGTATTAACACCTACGACAACCTTCAGCAGAGGAGAAAAGATCAGCTTTACGTCTCTCCTCACACGTCCCCCTTTGTCTGCAAGACAGGAAATCCCTGAGGCATTTGGCAGTTATTCCCATCATTGTTGGAATGGCAACTTTTATTGGGCCCCACCCAACAGCATTTGTGACTTCATGCATCAATGGAAGGACATCAATTTGGGAAAGAGGGGCAGACTCTATTAGAAAGCAATTATTCACACAGTTATGTGGCGAATTTGGGAGGAGAGGAACAAGAAATTTTTTGAAAATAAATGCAACCCTGTATAAGGCATCAAAAGACACATCTTGGCCTTGGTGAACTCCTGGATGCTTACCAGTAAGCACTTTGCAGGGATCAGCTATTGTGTTCAAGATAGAAACTTTGTTGAGATGTGGAACTCCCAGCTGCACTCTTACTCCTAGGCCAGCTACAGCTTTATCTTACAATTTGATGGTAGTTTAAAAGTCTTAACTGAAGTCAAAGCAGGACTTGGGGGAGTTATCCTAGATGTTAATGACACTGTGATATGGGCTTTTACAGTTTTACTGGCCCGGCTGCTGCTAGAGATGCCTCAGAAGCTGAAGTGAGAAACCTACTGGCTGGTCTCAGAATTGCTAAAGCAATGCAGACAATACCTTTGTTACTTGAGAGAGATTTCAGGAATGTGATTGGTTCAGTCACTAATTCAGAAAATAGCCCCTGGCAGCTTGCCAAATTTTTTCTTGAAATAAGCGAGTTCACCTCCTTCCTTGGTTGCAGTTTCAGATGGATCCTAGAGAGCTTAACCAAAGAGATGACTTTTTAGCTAAATCAGGTTCAAAGATGACATTTTTTGTATAGTGCAGATAGACTTCCTGAGATGTGAAGGGCTTGTGTTTTTTGTTTTTTAGCCCTGTGCCTTTTTTTCTGTACATCCTCTCATGTTCATCTCTTTTTGCTGAATGAAATCATTACCCTTTCTCAAAAAGAAAGTAAAAAAGTCCCAGCCAATTGATGTGAATTGCATAAACTAGATAAGTTATAAGCTTCACAAATAAACACGTAAGATTCAAACAACAAATGTAAGGTTTCTAGAGAAAAGGATTGAATCATAGGACCTCAACAACAAACCTTAGGCATTTGGCAACATTGGCTATAACTGAGATAAATCACTTGCATAATTAATCATAAATGCCATTTCACAGCCACCTAGAAACAGAGAACTTGAACCCAAATTTAAATTCACCCTACCACGAATAGTATAGCGTACAACCTTAATGTAGATCGGGCATCTGCTGCAAGGAACAAGAACCGTGACTCCAGAAGTTCTATAAAGTCCTGGCGCTCCTCGTTGTCCTCTCCAATCATTATGTAATCATTATCAGCTCTACTCGTTATTGATTTTAGTAAAGGGCTAAAGTAGCTGAACACAAATGGGATGAAAACAATCAGAAAGGAAGTTCACACTTGAGCATCACCAGGAGAATTTGCTATTTCTAAAAAGAGACAAGAGAAGAAAACTACAGATTGAGATGGCAAAAACACACCTTGGGCCGAAGAGAATCCTTTCGAGCTCATACAATTCAGAGTCAGTAGCAAGTTCAAGAACTGACCGCAGCTCAGGATCGAAAGTCCCTGTAAAATTAGTCATAAGAAGCATCATCAAAAACGTGAAACCAAAATACCTAGAAAATAAATAGCAACTGATACATAAATTCACCTTCCCCTCTTCTTGAAATGGATGCCTGAGGACAACCCATTAACCGAGGACAATTTTTACTCCCAAACGACCTCAGACTCTGCAAATTCACATTAACAAGATACAGGTTTTCTGCATTTTTTTCTTCAGAAATTGAAACAAAAGATAGGTTTTGACACTTACCCATGAAGAAAGGGTTAGTGGGTATTTAACTTTGGTGGCCGAGGATGCGAAGGGAAGGGGATTAAGGTCGTAGGCCAAGAGAAACGTTGGAGCTGTAGTAGCCATCTGATTACTTCAGGGAGGAAGTTGAACCAGAAGTGCACGTTAGCATCCACATTAAGTTTGAGACCCTGAATTGGCAGAGGTACGGTTTCTGGGTCCTCCCAATGTTCGAGGACGTTCACTCATCACCCTCGACTGGGCTTTCATTCGTTATCACTTTCTTCCAGTATTCTCCGGGAAATAACAAAATTCAGGTTGATCGTGATTACCTGAAAAGACGGGGGGTATTTCGGTTTCTACAAAATTGAGTAAGTTGGCAAATTTATTAAAGTACCCTAAGTTTTAAAAAATTGGCTAACTCTATCCCTACCTATTAAATACCCCCTTAGTATCTAATAATATTTCATCATAATCCGTTCAAATGTCCACATGATGCATATAATTTTTTAAAACCCAAAATTACCTTTTTGTGGTCGATTTTGCTTTCTATGATTCCTTTAAAAAATATATTAAATAAGGGCTCTTCATCTTCTTCCTCCTCTAAATCACTTCCACCCTAGTCCTACAAACCTCAATGACAATCATCATCATTGTCACCACCATGGCCTTCGCCCACCTCCGGCAATGTTCATGTAAAATATTGTTTTCTGTCAATCTGGAGAAGAAGGTCATAGGGCGTAAAATATTGTTTTGGGCCTTCATATCAAACAGTGCTGCTCATGTAAAATATTGTTTTCTAAGAAAACACTCATATAAACAGTACAGGGCTGTTGTTGTTGAATGGGCCGCCTCCACCCATTCAACAGTCCAATGAAGAAGAAGGTCGTGGGATTGGGGCGGAGGTCAATCTGGAGATCTTCATCTTCTTGGTCATCGAAGCAAGCGGAGGTGGGTGGTGGTAGAGCTGATGGATGGTAGTCATTGAGGTTTGCAGGGCTAGGGCGGAAGTGGTTTGGAGGAAGAAAGTTAATCTATTTTAAAAAATTAATATTAGGGCACAAAAGTTAATCTATTTTAAAAATTATATTAAAAGGATTATTTTTATTGATATTAGGGCACAAAAGTTGCCCTTATCAGATATAATCCCTTTTTAAAATATAGTTCAACAAATTTCAAAAGAGATTTCAATTTAGCATCAATAAAATTTGAAATTTTAACATCCCTGCCCACAATCCATGGTTTTTGTTTTCCCTCCTCTCCTCTTCATTATCCTAGAACCACAAATCCTAGAGAAATATAACCAAAGAACCAATCAATCAGAACCTAGTTCAGGTGCCTTCTCTGCAAACTTTGGTTTGAAAAGATCAATGGCCTTTCTGCACACAGGCCTTTCAAGCCTTTTGCGTTGATTAACTGCTCATCGGGTTTAAAAGTGAGGCAAGAAATTAAAGAATGTCTGACAATAGACCATTAACGATTACTTGAGCACGAACAACTTTACCAACTAATTAGACAACAACAAAAACAACCACCACCAAATTTTCCCCATGTTCTTGGAAAGAATAATTACTAAAGGGAAAAACACCTCCTCTTGCCTAACTTTTGTAAAGTTGAACTTCTTGCCGTCAAAAGGCTGGAGTACCTTGTCAACACAAAACTCTGTAGGCCACTTCTTGAGGTGGCGACCTTTGTTCATCTCGGCAATAAAGCCATACTTACCCCTGCTACAACTGGGCAATGAACCCATATACCCAGTTGAACAAAACACTCTACTACAACCTTGACGTTCACATGCATGAAAAGAATAATTGCATTTCACAAGAAAGTATTCCTCTCGGGCATTTCAAAGAACAAATGTTCTGTTTTTTGTAATTCTCCAGCTTTGCAAAGTGAACTAACAATAATGTTCCATGAATAAATATTCTTTTTAGGCATTTTTTTCAAACACGTGGAGCATAAAATATAACTTACCACACTTTGCATAGAACTCAATTAGCCTATTGAATAAAAAATGTCTCAGAATAATTACATGAACAACTTTACATGCTAACTAAGTAGATTTTCTTGTCTATGTGATCAATGGATCAGTTCTCCATTACTAAGATCACTAGTGTTACGATTGGACTTGTTGTTATTGAGAGTTAAAGAACAAGAATAAAACAAAGAACTCTCTTGAGAGTGAGAAGAGAATAATGCAAAGTAAATTGTATTTCTTGTATGTATCAACCAGAACCTCATGAGTATAATATATACTCATTATATTATTTCTTAAATAGAAAGAAAAGAATAAGCAATTGCTTATGTACATTATTTCTTAAATAAGCTATTTCTTATTTCAGTTGTTTCTAATCTAGGAAGAGATCCTTCATTAGAATCTTCTATCCTTGGAGAGTTGCCAATCTTAGACTTTTCCTCTTTCACACTATTCTACTTAGAATAACCTTCCTTAATACGCCTTCTCAAGGGAAACTGGGCTGGAAGCACATGAAGCTTGGACAAGAAATAGTCAAAGTGGGTGGAGGAAAGGGGTTTTGTAAACATATTAACAAGTTGATCATTAGTAGAGATATATTGGACCGTTAAAGTTTGGCGAAGAATATGATCCCACAAAAAATGAAAATCAACTTCAATGTGCTTGGTACAAGCATGAAATATTAGATGCACAGCTAAATACATAGCACCAATATTATCACAATAGAGAACAGGCGGAGAGGACTGGTGGACACCCAAATCACATAAGGGAGACTAAAGCCATAACAATTCAGTTGTAGTATTAGCTAAGGAGCGAATTTCAGCTTCAGTGTTGGACTACGCAATGGTGGGTTGTTTCTTAGCACTCTAAGAAATCAAATGAGAACCAAGGAAAATACCATAACCATCGGTAGAGCAGCAGTCATTAAGACAACCAATCCAGTCAACATAAGAGTACGCCATAAGAAACCTAGGGTAGTAGCAATAAAAGAGAGCCTAAAATCAATTGTACCTTTTAGGTAACACAAAATATGTTTGACAGTCGTCTAATGATCATTAGTAGAATTCTAGAGAAATTAGCACACCTTGTTTACTACGAATGCCACATCTGGTTGGGTCAATGTGACATAATGCAAGGCACCAACAATGCTATGATATTGAGTAAGATCAGGCAAAGGCTCACCTTAGAACTTCGACAATATGGATGTAGGTGCCATAGGTGTAGATAATGGCCTAGAAGCTACAAGATTGATCTTCTATAAAAGATCAAGAATATAGCGTCATTGAGAGAGAAACAACCCATTCTTGTCTCGATGTACCTCTACACCAAGGAAATAGTGAAGAGAGCCAAGATCCTTAAGAGAAAAACTACAAGACAAATCCATAATAAGCTAAGGGACATGAGAAGCAAAAGAACTACTAACAATAATATCAACAACATATACCAAAATATAAAGAGAAATATTGGCTTTGCGATAGATAAAAAGAGATGGATCACACTAAGAGCCTCTAAAGCCAAGATCATGTAATCTTCTAATTCTTCTATTAAGCCGAGAGGGCCATGCATTAGGAGTCTGATGAAGCCATAAAGAGCTTTATTTAACTTGCAAATATAATCTGGACAAATCTAATCCTCAAAACCACGAGGTTGATGCATATATACATACATACATACATACATACATACATACATACATACATATATATTCATGAATAAAACCATTCAAAAAGGCATTTGTGAACATCTAATTGTTTGATGTCCATCCATGTGACGTGGCTAAAGATAGTACCATACGAACAGTTGGCAGTTTAACAACTAAACTAAATGTATCAATAATATCGACGCAACGAACCTGAGAAAAACCTTGAGCAACTAATCTAGTTTTATACTCTATAGAACTGTTAAATTTTCTTTTGATTTTATAAAACCACTTAGAGCAAACAACATTCATAGTGGGATCATAAAGAACAAGTTGCCATGTACGATTTTGGAGAAGAGCATGAAACTTAGAGGCCATCATAGAATGCCAGTGAGTAGACTTGAATGCCTGAGAATAGGTAGAAGGTTCCACATCACAAGCACTATTATCTACTAGAAGTCCTTTAGGAAGAGGATATCGTGCGACAACCATAGCATGAGAGTGGTGAGCAAACATAGAAGGAGTGGTCATAGAATGAGTTCGTTCCGATGGAGGAGGAACATTAAGTGTAATGTCAAGAATATCTTGAATCAACCACGTCCTCTGAGGTGGCAGTTCTGCTTGAGTGACACTATAAGATAAAGAGCCATCAGTAGGAACATCAATAGAAGAAGAAAGACTTGGAGAAGTATCATGGTTATTGGGAGAAGTAATAGCAGTATTAGAGGGAGAAAGAGAAGTCACCTCTACGCTAGTAACTATGGTTACAGGTAGCAAAGAAATTGGTGTCGAATCTAGATGTCCAGAAGTTGAAATATCTTAGGAAATCCTAGGAAATTATCTATCATCAAAAACATGTTTGGAAATCATTTCTTGTGAAGTAATTGGATTATAACACCTATACCCTTTATGATAAGAACGGTAACTAATGAAAATGCAACGAACATACCTATAATCTATTTTATGCTTGTATGGTCGAATAAGGGGATACCGAAGACAACCAAAACTCCATAACATGGAATAATCAGGTACTCACCCAAATAATTTTTCATATGGAGAGAGATTACCAAGGGCCTATGTAGGCAACCAGTTAATGAGAAAAATTGTAGTTTTACTGCTTCAACCTAGAAGGATTTGGGGAGAGAAGAGGATGCCAGTAGAGAGAGTGGATTCAATAATATGTTGGTGTTTTCTTTCAGCACTACTGCTCTGCTCATGAGTATGAGAATAACTCACTCGATGCAAAATTCTTTCATTGTCATTGTCCAAAAGTTGAGATAATCTACGTTATTCACCGCCCCAATCACTTTGAAACATTTTTATTTTATTAGAGAACATATTTTCAGCATGCTTCTTGAATTTAAGAAAAGTATTAAAAACATCTTATTTTCTTTCAAGAGGATAAATCCAAGAGAATTTTAAATATGCATCCATAAACAAGACAAAATAACGATAACCTTTTGTAGACAAAACTAGGGCAGGTCCCCACACATTAGAGTAAATTAATTCCAAAGGTTGTGAAATAGTACTGGAAGAAACAAACAAACTTAAATGATGGGCTTTGCCTAATTAACAAGCCTCACACACAAAATTCTCATTGATAGTTCCAAAATAAGGCAAACCAAATTTAGAATTCACTAATTTAACAATTTTTAGAGAAGCATGTCCAAGTTGATGATGACTCTAAAGAGAAGCTTTTTCTCC